GGATGTAGTCCACTCCCAATAATAGATGAGGAGGTGTCAATTCCAGGAGAGGCAAAGCTGCTTTTGTAATGAGCCAGCCACTCCCAGTCCTATTCAAACCCAAATTAATGGTGTTCAATTTGCAAATGAATTTTAGTTCTACTGTTTCTCTTTGAAGTCCATTTCTGAAGTTTTTTGGTTCAAGTATAGCTACTTTTAAATCTGTTATAGAATGTCCAGCAAGATTGAAGTGTTGTCCTACTGGCTTTTGTATGTTACCATTCCTGATGTCCAATTTATGTCCATTTATTCTTTTATGTAAGGACTGTCCGGTTTGGCCAATGTACATGGCAGAGGGGCATTGCTGGCACATGATGGCATATATAACATTAGTACACATGCAGGTGAATGAACCCTTGATGATGTGGCTGATGTGGTTGGGTCCTCTGATGTTGTCGCTAGAGTAGATATGGGGACAGAGTAGGCAATGAGGTTTGCTACAGGGATTGGTTCCTGGGTTAGTATTTCTGTGGTGTGGTGTTTAGTTGCTGGTGAGTATTTGCTTCAGGTTGGGGGTCTGATAGTAAGCAAGGACTGGCCTGCCTCCCAAGGTCTGTGAGAATGAGGGATCATTTTCCAGGATAAGTTGTAGATCGTTGATAATGTGCTGGAGAGGTTTTAGCTGGGGGCTGTACATGATGGCCAGTGGTGTTCTGTTATTTTCCTTGTTGGGCCTGTCATGTAATAGGTGATTTCTGGGTACCCGTCTCACTCTGTCAATCTGTTTCCTCACTTCCCCCAGGTGGGTATTGTAGTTTTAAGAATGCTTGATAAAGATCTTGTAGGTATGTATCTCTGTCTGAGAGATTGGAATAAATTCGGTTGTATCTTCGGGCTTGGCTGTAGACAATGGATCGTGTGGTGTGTCCTGGATGGAAGCTGGAGGATGTAGGTAAGTATAGCTGTCAGTAGGTTTCCGGTGATAGGGTGGTGTTTATGTGACCATCACTTATTTGCACTATAGTGTCCAAGAAGTGGATCTCTTGTGTGGACTGGTCCAGGCTGAGGTTGATGGTGGGGTGGAAATTGTTGAAATCCAGGTGGAATTCTTCAAGGGCCTCCTTTCCATGGGTCCATATGATGAAGATGTCACCAATGTAGTGCAAGTAGAGGAGGAGTGCTAGGGGACGAAAACTGAGGAAGCGTTGTTCTAAGTCAGCCATAAAAATGTTGACATACTGTGGGGCCATGAGGTTACCCATAGCAGTGCCACTGACTTGAATGTATATAAGTTGTCCCCAAATCTGAAATGGTTGTGGGTGAGGACAAAGTCACAAAGCTCAGCCACCAGGTGTGCGGTGGACTCATCAGGGATACTGTTCTTGACAGCTTGTAGTCCATCCTCATGTGGATGTGGTGTAAAGAGCTTCTACATCCATGGTGGCGAGGATGGTGTTTTCAGGAAGATCACCAGTGCATTGTAGTTTCCTCAGGAACTCGGTGGTGTCTCAAAGGTAGCTAGGAGTGCTGGTAGCATAGGGTCTGAGGAGAGAGTCCAAATAGCCAGATAATCCCGCTGTAAGAGTGCCGATGCCTGAGATGATGGGGCGTCCAGGGTTTCCAGGTTTATGGATCTTGGGTAGCAGATAGAATATCCCTGGTCAGGACTCTGGGAGTGTGTTCGTGTAGCTATACTTGAACAAAAATTTTCACCCCATGCATCTGAAGAAGTGGTGTAGGTAATCCACCTCCCTGCGAGACGGTAGGTAGCTCAACAGACAAATTCTTCTGTCGACCTAGCGCTGTCTGCCCTAGAGGTTAGGTCACCTTAACTATGCCATTCAGGGGTGTGGACCAACACAGCTACAACAACACTGCATACAACTTGGTAACTTAGGGCTAGTCTACACTGAAACGCTACAGCGCTGCTGCGGCAGCGCTTTAACGTGGCTTGTGTAGTCGCGGCAGAGCACTGGGAGAGAGCTCTCCCAGCGCTACTTAAAAAAAAAAAAAACCACTCACCACTTCACAGCACTGAAACTTGCTGTGCTCAGGGAGGTGTTTTTTCACACCCCTGAGCAAGAAAGTTGCAGCTCTATAAAGTACCAGCATAGACAAGCCGTTAGTGTTCTTCTGGGCTAGGTTGGGTAGGAGAAAGAGGTTTTATTTATATGCAAAGTATGAAAGATTCTTGTTAATAGCCTAGACAATACTCTCATTTAGCCATTTTAGTTTCTATTCTTGGCAAGAGGCACTCCTGTCCTAGGCTGATCTGTGGGTGCTTAGATAAAGTGTCTCAAATGATGTGAACCATTTTCTTAGTGTCTTTACTTCTTAGGTGGATTCTATTTTGTGATAAACAGAGGTGGATAGCTTTTTTTAATTTCTGAGGGCCAGAAGGAATCAGAAAGTATTGATCATTCAAGGGATATCTGTTCTATATATCCCTTACAAAATTCTATTATATATTTATTGTTACAGAAAAGCTATCTTAAACATCCCATTTTCTAAACAAGGCCACAGAAAGAAATAAAAATATTGTTAAAAGTAACTTTAAAAATATGTTTAAAAACTACAAATCTGTTTTTAAAAATGCTGTACCATTAAAATTGGCTTACACTTCATAATGATTTTAATATTCTCAAAAATCTTTTTAGGAAAAATAGAAATTAGGACAGAAAAAGCATTGGAACTGAGAGAGAGTTTTCTTGGTTCATTTTGGAATTAAGAGCCTCCATTTTGGAATGCAGAGTTTCTCAGAACTATGATAGTAAGCTTTCATCAGATAGTTAGAAATACATAAAGATTACTCTCTTCTTGCAAAAATTTAAATCTTTCTCACTATATGTCAAGAGTTTAGATAGGCTGTGTGTACACTTACTTTGTTACCGCACACAAACGAGACCATTAAAAATATAATTATTATTTTATATTTTGCTTTGTTTTGTAGGGAGTTCAAGCAAAAGCATAGATTCTACTTTAATCAACAATATAGATGTATTTGTAACTATCACAGCACCTATAAGAGACTGCTATAGTTCAAGCCTCTGGCTTTGATCCTGCAATTGACTTTGTGGATGGATCCTTGCCCGTTTGAGGAGCTTCACTGATTTTAATGAGGAGCCACCTTGTATGAGGGGTTTGGCCGGGGCTCGTTCCTCTCTGGGGCGGCGGGGGACCACACCGCTTCGGTACTTCCTTCCAGTTGTTGATGGGGAATTAGCCTGGCCGTGGGAGTCTCTCGCCGTGGCAGCAGTAGAGGCGAACACAGACAGTTATTCGTGCCCGGCCCGTGGTCGGCGGCAATAGTGAGTCCAGGGCTCAGGTCCTCAGGCAGGAGCTGAGCAACTGTTTATATAATTAGCAGGCCCCGGCCTTGGGTCGGGGCAGGGCCACAGAGAGTCAGTGGCTCAGGCCCTCAGACACGGGCTGAGCAAAGGCAGGTAAACAACCAGCCCAGGCTCTCGGCTCGGAGGGGCCTGGGAGAAGGGGAGACTGCCACCCAGAATGGCCCTCCCATTCCACTGCGTCCCAGCCCAGGGCCTTAGCAGCGGCAGAGGACCTGCTGCTGTGTCAGTGGGGATCCTGGCCGCAACACACTGACATAGGCTCTGGCAGTGCTGCAGCTAGACTACAGTTGGCTGCCCCAGGGCCACTTCCTAACTCTCCCTCTAGAGGTACCTGGGTCTGGACGGTGTCCTCCGGGGGTTCAAGTACCATGGGTTTTTCAGGGTAACTGGCAAGGGGTAGGCTTGGCAGCTCCTCCGGGCTCTGGTCAGCGTCAGGCATTGGTTGGGCAGGCCAGTCTTCGGGTCTGCCACCGGTTGCCAGGGTCTCCCAACTGGGAGCTAGGCCACAGTCATCTGGCCTCTCCAGTGGCTGCTTCTCCAGTGAGCTCTGGGGTTGGGCTTTTATACTTCCTGTCCTGCGCTTTGACCTCTGGGGGGGGCGGGTGCAGGACTCACTGGCTCTGCCCACTTTGGTGTCCAGAGGGGCTCGTCCCTCTCTGAGACGGTGGGGGACCACATCGCCTCGCTACACACCTGCATAGAGTTCATTGCGGAACTGAGGCTTTAGATCCTAATCCTGAAAACATTTATGCATGTGCTTAATTTAACTGTACCGTGAGTAGCCCTACTGAAGATAAAGGGCAATTCAGAGTAGTAAAGTTAAGCACATGCAGAATTGGGGCCTTCATCAACAAGGCTGCATGAGAATATTGCCATGAGACCTGGGAAAAATGCCTAAATTCACATTTTTGAAACTTATCCTGCTAGAAACTCCACCATGTTCACATTGTGGCATGTCCTTTCTCTTTTTGCCTCAAGTAGGGTGACCAGACAGCAAATGTGAAAAATCGGGATGAGGGTGGGGGGTAATAGGAGCCTATATAAGAAAAAGACCCCAAAATCAGGACTGTCTCTATAAAATCAGGACATCTGGTCACCCTAGCCTCAAGGGAAAGGGGTCTCTAACCCAACAATTGAATGAGGCCTACTGAGGCCTCACTTAGGGTTCCTCAGGGAAAACAGGCTGCGATCCTTGGATCCTGTGTTGTAGCATGGAAAACTAGACCCTCCCTGGAGTATCCTGGATCCTCAACTCTGTGCAGTATGATTCCTTAAGGAGCTGTTCTTTTTGCTATTGCTTCTCCTCCTCAGCGTCTGTAGTCTCCCCACATACCTCCACCCAGGGGATAAAAGGAGTGAAGGAAGGAAGTTTGGAGCAACATTAATTCCCGGGCAGATTTCCACTTGGAAATTTGTGTGGAAACTAGGCATGTTTAGGGGCTGCTCTAGAAGTGTGCCCTCCTAAACCACAGACCTCTAACACCTGGTATTCCAGCACAGACCTGATCAAATAATTCCATTTACATTTAAAATCTATATTTAAAATGGCGTATTGTGTTTTTAAAATAACTGAAGCCACCAACATCCTTGGAAAACAGGCCTTTTTGGTAATTTCATGACTTGTTTGTTTTTACTAAACATATTTTCCCCTCCCCCCAATTTACTTTACAGTGAGAAAGCTGAATTAGTTCAGGCCACAATTGCTTTCCAACAAGAAAAGGAGGCTTACAACAAACAGTTCAGATATCAACAGCAGGTGGGTTTCTGTATTTATAAAAGATATGGTGAAAAAGTGGCTGCATGTTCATAGATGGAATTTATTTCTTCAGCAATTACATATTAGCAAAGTATGGGGACACAAAAGTTAAAACATCTCTTGATGCTAACTAGGCTCAACTTGCACAACTCAGGTGTTGATAAATTAGAGAGGGTTCAGAAGAGAGCCCCAGGAATTATTAAAGGATTAGAAAACATGTCTTATAATGATAGACTCAAAGAGCTCAATCTATTTAGTTTAACAAAGAGAAGGTTAAGAAGTGACTTGATTACAGTCTAGGAAGTACCTACATGGGGAACAACCAAATCTTTTTTTAAACGGCTAGTTGCAGGATAAAAAAGGGAATGGGGATTAGCCTGCAGAGCTGCCCTCTCCCCCACTTCATTTTCCCAGCTATAAAAATCTTATCTGGCAATAAATCAGAAATGGAGACTGCATCATTTCTTTTACTTTCAATAATGGAAACAAGGGCAAGTTCACAAACATCTTGGGCCAGATTCACTAGGCTGCAGGCCCTTGGAAATAGGAAGTCCACTTGGAGCTGGGGCACAGCACCTTTCAGGAACTAACATTGCCCCAAAAGTGGAAATGGCCACCATAGAAGAGAGCAGGGACAGATCAGCTGAGAGTTGCAAGGATTCAGTGTCTCTTCTAAGCAGTTTCCTGCAGAGGAGCTCCTGTACTGCCCCAACAGTAATTTAAAGCTGTTTTTCTCTAGAAGAACTGTTGAGGATAGCAGTTGCACTGCTGCCTACCTTTCCAGAGCAAATCCCCCCTCCATTGTTGCTGCTTTTGCAGGTGTAAGGGATGAACTTTTCTATTTTTGTTTTTATCACCATGACATGTGGGCACCTGTTTCGCACCCGTACCCCATCCCCAAAGGAGTGAATCTGTCCCCACTGTAAGTGTGCAAGAGATAAGACTGAAAACGTAGTAACCATCAAATTACACTGTGGGAAAGTGTTAGATCTACACAGGCGTTGTAATATGTCTCTACATAACTTAGCCAGCTGTTATGTCCCTTGGCTACCAAATTCCAAGACATCCTGCTGTTCTTCTGAAAGATTAATAGTCTGTTTTTCCTGTAACATTCTATCCTGCTTCTCCTGTTTTGTAGGATTCAGATTCCTCTCTGTCATGTAGCAGCATCTACATATTTGTTATTAGATTAAATCTTTCATTTTGATAGCTTTCTATAAAGGATGCTTTCACCTACCACTTAGAGTTTAGGTGCCTGGTTTTGGACATTTAAAATGTAGGGTGTCTCTAGATCTTGACCCTACTGCTCTCTCCCTGGTTCCTAATTCCTGGTAATTCACAGCATTTTCTTTCCTTGGTCTGCTCTTTCTGCTCTCCACATCCAATCCTTTTCAGAACAGTACTGCAGGCAGCAACAAATTCATTTGCTTTATGGCAATCCAGGCACAAATCTATCCAAGGTTTCAGAGTAGCAGCCGTGTTAGTCTGTATCCGCAAAAAGAACAGGAGTACTTGTGGCACCTTAGAGACTAAATCTATCCAAGAATCTCACCCATATATATGATGAAGTTGTGCTCAGAATCTCTTTCCTCCAGCCTGGTTGCAACAGATTATTTTACCTAGTTTTATCCCGCATGGAGATGACTTAAAATTTTGGGAGAAACTTGACAGGCAGGGTTGCCTTGAAAAGCAAGTTATTTACAGTGTATTCAGCTGCTTCCTCCCTCTAGTCCTGTAAGGCCTGTCAAGGCATTTGCTTTCCTTGAAGGGAGAAGATCTAAGCTGTTGCCTGCTAGTGGGAAGCCTGAACTGACCTCCTGATCTATAACATTTGCCTTCTCCACAAATCTTGCAAGCAGTTAAGACTGATCTGTGTCTTTCCTTTGCCCAATGCCCATTCCTCTATGACTAGAACTGAAGGAGACTCATCATTGGTCCCCAGCACCCAGTCTCCACAGTACCACTACCCACGCCACACTGCGTCTGTAAGTCCCTCCTTCCCGTTTTGTGCTCCTTTCATGTCTTAGGGCTTGTGTACACTGGCACTTTACAGCGCTGCAACTTTCTCACTCAGGGGCGTGAAAAAACATCCCCCTGAGCGCAGCAAGTTTCAGCGCTGTAAAGCACCAGTGTAGACAGTGCACCAGCGCTGGGAACTGTGCTCCCAGCACTGGTAGCTACACCCCTCGTGGAAGGGGTTTATTTAGAGCACTCAGCGCTGCGCTGCGGGAGAGCTCTCTTCCAGCGCTGTGCTACAACCACACAAGGCACGTTAAAGTGCTGCCATGGCAACGCTTTAATGTTGCCAGTGTAGACTAGCCCTTATTCTTTATTTGTGATAGATTAGTGCCTACTATATACTGGTAATTTTCCAAACATTCAGAAAGGACAGTTCTTGCTCCAAAGAGTTCACAAATCAAAGGGTATGTCTACAGTTAAAACATTACAGCAGCACGAATGCAGCAGAGATGCAGCACTGTAGCACTTCAGTGTAGACACTCATTACAATGACGGGAGAGGATCTGCTTTGCTGTAGTTAATCCACATCCCCAAGAGGCAGTAGCTAGGTTAATGGAAGATTTCTTCCATGGACCTAGCACACTCTACGCCAGGGGTTAGATTGGCAGAGCTACGTCTCTCAGGGATGTGAAGAGGCGGAGCTATTCCAACGTAAATTTTCAGTATAGACCAGCCCTAAGCAGCTCCGGTCTCTCACTTGCCGTAGAGCCCAAAGATAGTCATGGCCTCAAATGCCAGCAAGATGTACATGGTACTCAGCTCCATGTCTTCTTTATTTAAATGCACATAGGATATTTGGGAAATGGTGCTGTCTGGCTGAGAGAAATAAAAGGCAGCTGGGTGAAGCTGAACCTGGGCAAGATAAGGGAATGCTGGTGGGAAAAGGGGAAACTTTGAAAGAAAGAAAGACCAGGAAAGAAACCCCTATGGCCTGACTCCAGATTGTTAAATTGGTCTGCAGCCTCAGGCACTCCTCCTGGTCTCCTCACTAGTGCTGGACACAGAGATAGTGATACCCACAAAAATGTCTTTATCCATCTAAAACTAGCAATAAGACTGCATTCCATTTTACCTAATATAGACCAGGCCATAAGAATCCATGCCTTTGTCACCTCCACGATGGACTATTCCAACTCACTACTCCAATATTAAAACAGCTTCAGTTAGTCCAGAATGCAGTAGCCCTCTTCTTCAGCATGACCGGCAACTGAGAGCAGTGCTCGGTGCACTATATTGGCTCACAGAGAATGTGGGAACCTTTATTACCTTACACCAGCACCACCACTTTTCTCTTTCTTGGTCATTGTTAGCTACTCCCCAAGTATTTGCCTGCCACTGCCTTTTGCAACACAACACAGGGTGGAAACCCTTGCCTGTGCCTTGTTGTCTGAGGTGAGAGTGGGGAGGTTAGGTTTCAGAATGCTTTTTTCCTTCCATATCCCTCGCTGGAGTTTGCAGCATGCTTTTTCATGTCCAGGACCAGGATGGACTGGGTGAACCTTCCCCACACACAGCAGCAATTTTCTTAATGAGGACAAAATTGACTAAAAACAGAGAGAAAGTGAAGTAAGAACAAAAAAGAAATTGTTTGGTTACATACCTAGACATACACTTTGCATAAGATAAATCAAGTAAGACGCTCTCTGCATCATGTTCCAAAAAGCACTGTGTGGCTCGGAGCCCAGAGTCAGAGTTCCACCCCCACCCTGTTCCAAGGTGAAAGAGAGTCTCCCTTCCCTTTGTTCAGGGACCTCACTTTTCCCTGCCCTGCAGCTTTCCTGTCTAGAAATGCCTCCCATCATCTAGTGTTATTGTAGCCATGTCAGTCCTAGGTGGGTGAGGTAATATCTTTTATTGAATCAGCTTCTGGTGGTGAGAGAGACAAGCTTTGGAGCCTCAACACGGAGCTCTTCTTCAAGACCTGAAAGAAGACTCCACTCTAGAGGGTGGCAACTTCATATTTCCATTTTGTATTGCCCATCAAAAACCACTTTACTTGATGGGCAGACTGCTCTGTGAAATACAAAAAGAAGAACAGGAGGACTTGTGGCACCTTAGAGACTAACAAATTTATTAGAGCATAAGCTTTCGTGGACTA